CATTAAAAGAGCAGATTCAAAAAATGCAATCCGAAATTGATACATTAAAAGTGCAAATTATTGAGATAACAGATAATGATAAAGATTATATACCAGACAATACAAATCAGCAGTTATCTTTAGTTTATCCTGATTATATTCAATTCATAATCAACTACATTTCATTATGGCCCAAAAATAAAATTGATAAAGTTAATTTGGCAAGTTTATATTAAGCATATTGTACTTGGTGTGATATTAATAATAAAGAACCATTGAATAATAATATTCTTGATAAAAAGTTCACATTAATTGATATTGGGCACAAACGGGCAGGTAATAGGAAAAGAGAATGGCAGTATGTTCTTGATAAATATAAAATTATGAATATGATATATGAACTATTTGGTAATAACCATGAGTAATAGACTCGATAGCATGTCCCGATAATGTGTATATAGCATATCTGATAGCATGTATATAGCATTCCTGATAGCAATTACGCAACGTATATTGATGGCATTCTCCGATAATATTTATGATGTATGTATCGATAGCAATTGTGCATACATGTTTGATAGCATACAACACTGACGATGGTATCATTAGCATATTTTTTATAGATCGTGAGGTATCTAAGTGTGATAACATGACTACAAATTCGTCATCATATTTTTTTATAGGTTGTGGGTACCCAACTATGACGACAAACTTGTGAACCAATCGTCACTCGAATGACGATGCAAGCGTGAATTATTCGTCACTCGAATGTTAGAGCGAATACTAATATATCTCTGATGACGGTAATGCATTTCTGTCATCACAACACTGACGATGGTGACGTATTTCTGTCATCACTCGAATGACGATGCAAGCGTAAATCATTCGTCACTCGAATAATAGAGCGAATACTAATATATCTCTGATGATGGTGACGCATTTCTGTCATCACAACACTGACGACGGTGACGCATTTCTGTCATCACTTGAATAACGATGCAAGCGTGAATCATTCGTCACTCAAATAATAGAGCGAATACTAATATATCTCTGATGACGGTAACGCATTTCTGTCGTCACAACACTGATGACGGTGACGCATTTCTGTCATCATACCTGAGTGGGAATAACCTAGACTAAGTGGAAATAACATAATTATGTTATTTCCACTGCTCTCTTTCTCTCTCCAGTACCATTTGTATAAATTCATAAATATAGTTTTTTTTCGGTATAGTATTCGCGGAAAGGAAATGCTTTAATATGCTTCATTTTAAATGATTTCACGATGCCAGAGAGAATTTTGCTCACCTTTTCTTTGCATTCATCTGGAGTTTCTCTGTCTGGTACGCGAATGTCAAAGAAAAACTGAATGCCTATAAGAGTTACCAGTGCCTTTTGGCTATTAATAAGGTAACTATAAAGACGCAATACATAGCGATAAGTTCCATTTATCTTTTCTGTTGACTCTTCATTCTCAATGGCCATAAATAGAATATTACGATGATTTGCTATTTCATTTTCAAGAATTGCAGACAATCCCTCATCACCATTTTCTCTAACTATTTCATCTAGAGTTGGAAAATTCATCAAGTACTTTTCGCCAGAATAGCGAATTAGTTGGGCTTCTATTTTATCTTTTCCAGCCTCTGGCTGGAAAAGGGTGGGGCCGTCCAAATTCTCTGAAAGCTCATATTGGGTCATGGTAGTATCAGATATTTTTTTGAAGAAATACTAAATTTGTATAGAAAAAGTTTAAAATAAAAATTAATTCCCAACTAAAAAGTAACTGATATCAATTTATAGCAAAAAAAAAACTATCTTAAAAGATGGCATTTTATCATTGTGAATACATTCTTAGAAGTAGAGAAGTCTGTGGACGGGGTAGTTATAGGCCTGAAGGATGCGGTTATCACTGGAAATTCCCCCAATGTGTACTATGTAAGGAGTGCGGTGAAATTACATTCTCCATATATAGTATGTACAAAAAACATGCAGGGAAGTACCGAAATATGGAATACTATTATCAGCAAAAGCTTGCAAAAATCCAGAATAAATTCTACCAGCAAACCATCCCAGAAAACCCGTCCTAGTTTGCTGGGATGAGCTGGGATGGAAATCTGGATGGAAAAATATAGCTAAACGGTAATATTAAGCTGAATTAAAGGGAATTTGAATAGCCATCCCAGTTGTCCCAGTTGTCCAAGTAAAATACGAGATTCTTTATTATTATTTTTTTTTTACTTTTTTTCCTATAAGTATACTAACATATATCATACACATAGTAGTATATATACCATAAACATATAGCATAGGATGAATTACAAATTTTTTTCTAGAATTCTTATTTTTACTAGGACAACTAGGACAACTAGAACATAGTGTAAAAGAACAAGTTAAATCAAAGAAAGAAGCTTTTCTTCTATATCAAATTTCGTCCCAGTTCTGTCCCAGTTGTCCTAATAACTAAGACGGAATTTACTACTATATATCGATTATATCCAACATGCATAAAATAAAAATTAATTCCAAAATATATAAATCAATACATAAACCAACTATTCATAGTTATTAAAAAATGGTATTTTATCGATATCCTTATATTCTCAGGAGTGGTGAGGTTTGCAATCGGGGATGCTACTGACCGGAAGGATGCCAAATTCATTAGAACTCTCCCTCACGTGTACCTTGCAATGAATGCAGTAAATTAACTTTTTTCAAATATGGTACTTGTAATATTCATGCAAGAAAACATCGTAAAATGGAATAGTACTATCGGAAAAAGCTAGCTGACTTGGCTTCGACGCAGATAACAGTAGGTAATATAGAGGTAAACAAAAATAATACAACTTGATGAGTATCATCAAAAAGTCTTAGTGATAAAAATTCTTGGTGATGCTCTTAGTAACAAAATGTATAGCTATTTTGCTATTTCAAATCCACAGAATAAGTTTCAAGTGGGTGTTACTATGTCACTAAGAGTCACTAAGAAAATTCGGACTTCTTTACTTTGATTTAACTTGTTCTTTTACACTATGTTCTAGTTGTCCCAGTTGTCCAAGTAAAATACGAGATTCTTTATTATTATTTTTTTTTTACTTTTTTTCCTATAAGTATAC